GAGGCTCAGGCATCCGTCTGGGGCCATGAGGCAACCCGACCACAGTGTGGTGGTGGAGCGCCACCCCAGCCGTTCTCAACCTGGGGGTCGAATGACCCTTTCACAGGGGCCACCCGATTGGTCACCGTAACAAACTGACAGTGATGAAGTCGCAATGAAAATAATGTTATGGTTGGGGATCCCCGCCACACGAGGAACTGTATGAAAGGGTCGTGGCACAAGAGAGGTTGAGAACCACTGCTCTCCATGGACCCGACCTGCCAGCACTGAAACTCCCTTTCTGTAAGAGAAACCGCAGAGACACGTGATGGGTCCTTGCAGCTCACCTTCCACAGAAGCAAGGCTTTCTGTTCGTTTGCGGTCTCACACAGGTTCCCGGACACCCACACTTCTTTGGGGGCTGATGGGGAGGAAGGAAGGAGAAACAAACTAGACCAGCCGTCCAGAAACGGGGGTGAGGGTTTGGGGGCAAGCCCGAGATCCTCACCGGAGGGTGGTGTCTGGAAGGACAGGGTGGGGCTCCACTCGCCCCACAGGTCCTCTTCAGCTTGCATCCGACAGCGGCCGGACATCTCATAGCCAGTGGCAAGCTCCAGGTCCTGGATCTCAATCGGAACCAGGGGTCTGGACGTCAGTTCTGGCTCCAGCTGGGGAGGGGCCAAGACGGGGAAGAGGGAGGGGGCTGAGGACAAGGTGAGAGCACTTGACCATAGCGACCACTATCTAGGCTAAGGTAGAAGGGCCCTTGTGAGTTTCTGAGACAATCACTCTTTCTGTTTTGTTTTCTTTAATAATTCAGTGGCCTACTTGTATTTTTAAAGAGTTGTGTGATCATCACCACAATCAAGTTTAGAACCTGTCCTTGCTTGCGTTCATTATTATGAGCTCCTCAGCCCCTCTCCAGCCATAATTCTAAGGAACTACTAACCCAGTCATTGGCGCTATAGATTTATCCATCCTGGATTCATATACAGAAAAAGAGACCATCACTCCTTCTGGGCCTAAAGCCTGATCTCCCCCCACCCCCCACCCACCCCCAGTGGTTGCTGGTATCAAAGGGTGGGCTTCGCAGTTTGCAGCCACGTGGGCTCATGCCACAGCAATCGATCTGTTTCTTATTCTCCTTATTTTGACCCGAGAGGATCCTGAGGCTCAGAGAGGTGAAGCGACTTGCCCAAGGTCCCAGAGCTGGTGTGTCCTGGCGCTGGGAATCCTTGAGAAAATGTCCCAGTAAGATGTTTCTCGCCTTTTGGTGAACAAATGCAAGTCCTCCAGGAGCTTAAGTGACCCCTCAAAGAACACAGGTCAGCAGGCCTTGTCCCAGCACTGCCATTCCCATGACTAAGTCCTACGTCAGCGCTGGCAGACGGCAAGTCTCTCTCTCTCTCTAAATTGAAGCATTCACTATTGTTCTCTCTGATCGGGACCCAGGCAATCAGATAACCAAGTCTGCATCTACCACATAAAAGACAATGGCCAATCAGGAGAGTAGTGATACCAGGAGGGGAAGGGGAAGGTGGGGGGAGAAAGGGGGAACCGATCACAAGGATCTACATGTCACCTCCTCCCAGGGGGGTGCACAATAGAAAAGTGGGTGAAGGGAGACAGAAATCGGTGTAAGACATGAACAAAATGCTTTTATAAATTATCAAGGGATCATGAGGAAGGGGGGGTGGGGGAAGGGAGGAAATGAGCCGATACCAAGGGCTCAAGTAGAAAGAAAATGTTTGGAAAAGGATGATGGCAACATATGTACAAATGTGCTTGACACCATGGATGGACGGCTTTGACAAGAGTTGTACGAGCCCCCAATTACATGATTCAAATGAAAGCCAATGGCAGTGACAAGGTGTCTGCCCCTTATTGTGGCGTTTTGGGTCAAGAGCTGGGCCTGGGGCAGCTGGTTGTCTCCAACAGCCATTCTCTCTCTGGAAACAGAATTCCTCCGTATTAGTCAGCCACATGGCCGCCAAGAATACAGACCCCATTTCTCAGCACCCCACGCAGTCAAGTGAGGTCAGACGACTGCCCTCCGCCCTGTTAGAGAGGGACACGACTTCCGAAAGTGCACTTCCAGAATGTGCTCTGCATTTCATGTAACTTTTTTTTTAAACATTTTATTAGGGGCTCATACAACTGTTATCGCAATCCATACACACATCAATTGTGTAAAGCACATTTGTACATCATTCTCAAAACATTTTCTCTCCACTTAAACCCCCGACATTAGGTCCTCATTTTTCTCCTCCCTCTCCGCTCCCCCCTCCCTCATGAGCCCTTGATAGTTTATAAATGGGTATTTTGTCATATCTTGCCCTGTCCGACGTCTCCCTTCACCCACTTTTCGGTTGTCTGTCCCCCAGGGAGGAGGTCACACACAGTTCCTTGTAATCGGTTCCCTCTTTCCTACCCACTCTCCCTTTACCCTCCCTGTTTCACCACTCACACCACTGGTCCTGTAGGGCTCATCCGCCCTGGATTCCCTGTATTTTCAGTTCCTATCTGTACCAGTGTACATCCTCTGGTCTAGCCAGACTTACCAGGTCGAATTCGAGTCATGGTAGTGGGGGCGGGGAGGAAACATTTAGGAACTAGAGGAAAGTTGTATTTCTCATCGTTGTTATATCGCACCCTGACTGGCTCGTCTCCTCCCTGAGACCCCTCTGAATGTGTCTTGCTGGGTCACCTTGGGGAAGTTGCTTAACTTCCCTGAAGTTCAGCTGCCTCAGCTCCAAAACAGGGAGGGTGATCATGAGCATCCTTGCGGAGAGCTGAGCTCAGGGCCCGACACACAGTAGGTGTTCAGCGGTGCGGGCTGCTTTTATTTATTTATTTAGAGTGTTTGCGAGAAGTCAGGCCCTCCTCCTCCTCCTCTGTGAAATGGATAGATGTAAAAAAAAAAAAAAGCACGTCAAAGCGTTTTTGCAAGGATTCAATAAGTCCCTGTTTGGTGTGGGAATTAGATTTTGTGTCAACTTGGCTGGGTCCGGGTTCTCTGGTTTGGCAGTTAAGGCCTAGTAGTCTCCCATGATGTGACTAGCACAGTGGAATCAACCCGTGATGGGATCTGCTGGGAGCAGACAATCCATTGTAAGGAGATGACGGTGGAGTGAAACTCCCTTCATCAGGTTACAACCCTAATGCAATTGAAAGGAAAGTTGCTTATGAATGTGACCTAAGTCCTATAGAAGTGGGCCCTGTGGGGTAGTTTGCTTGTTTTCTGCTGGGTCTGGACTTGCGCTAACAGCCTGCCAATCCTGGGAGCCATCATTGAGCCTGACATCTGCCCTGGTTGTGCCATTGGGTAAGCATTAGACTAACAACCACAAGTTCTTTGGTTCAAACCCACCAGCTGCTCCCTGAGAGAGGAAGAGAGGTCATCTGCTCTCATAGATTGACAGCCTGGGAAACCTTCTAGGAGCTCTGGTGGCAGAGTGGTTACATACTGGGCTGCTAACTGCAAGGTCAGCAGTTTGAAACTACCAGCTGCTCCTTGTGTGAGAGATGGGGCTTTCTACTCCCATGAAGTTATAGGCTTAGGAACTCACAGGGGCAGTTCCACCCTGTCCTATAGGGTGGCATGAACTCGAAGGCAGTGTTTGGGTTTTGGTGTGGGAAACCCTCCCCAGAGGGGCTGAGTTGAAACCCACTCAGGGGCAGCAGGTTGTTTTTATTAGTAGTACTGTGTCCTACCTGCAGTGTTATGAGGTGTCACTTGCTGGTGTTATCCTTCTTGAGTGTAATGTGCCCACCCCCTAAAGACAAATAGCAACCAAGTTTATAAAAACACTGCCAATAAAAAGTTGTAATAATGAAAATTGGGGTGTGGGGTGTGGAGTATTCGACTTACATCAGAACTGACTTAGGATAGAGTAGTCGTGGGAAGGGAACCCATGACTGCCAACTGGTGGTCTTTGAAGGTTAACTTAAGCTTTGAAGGTTAACTTAAGCTATTGGAGGACTTTGAGTTGTCCATCAAAGGGCTAGGGGAAGTTGAGTGAGTTTCTCAAGGATTCCAAGGAGAATCTGGGTCCGAGTGTGTGGCGTCTGGGGGAAGATGTTTAGCAGCAGCCGACTTGGGCAGGAGTGGAGGGTGGGCAGGGCTGGAGTGGGCCTTGGCCTGGTTCTCTGCTATAGAAGTGGTGTCCCAACGTGCTGACCTCTGACACTCACCAGGGTCCAGGGTTCCTCCTGGCACCTTCGATAGTAGAACTGGCAGACCATGTCCTCCTGCTGGGACAGCCATGTGGGTGGAGTCCACTGGACAACAGTCTCCAGGGGCTCATCCTCTGAAAACTCCAGGTCCGGGCACAGCCAGGGGGCGTCCAGGTTCACTGGGGATGAGGCGGCCAGGGGCCACTGAGCCAGGGCCTCCAGGACCGCCCACCCCACACAGCGAGCCCTCTCACCACGTGTTACCTCGGGTTGCCAGGTTCACGGAGATTTGGGGCCACAGAGGCTTGCCTGCCTTGGTCCCCCAGACAAGGAGCGTGTCAAACTCGGTGAACTGTTCCCGTGGAATGATCACCCAGCTCTGCCTGGCAGGCACTGCCACGACCTGGGATCTGTTGAGGTGGCTGTGGGACAGGGGTACATTGGGCTGGCCTTGGAGGCTGGCACAGAAGGGGTGCAGGGTATGAGAGATGGGGGTTTCAAATCCCAGCTCTGCTGATTCAGAGCTGTGTGATATTGAGCCCTGAGGGTCTTAAGTCTCGGTACCTCAGTTTCCTCATCCATCATATGAGGGCAGTACACCGAGAGGGCAAGGAAGGGGACCCCTGATAACCTTGGGGGTACCATCTGTGTTAGGGAAGGTGATACACGTTAGGTAACCATCATGGTTTGAATTGTGTGTCCAGCCAGTGTGTGGGTTACAAACCCTACTCTCCGCCTGTGGCAGAAGGAGTCCTGGTGTACTGGGGTTAAACACTAGGCTGTTATCTGTAAGGTCAGTGGTCTCAACCCACTCCAAGAGAGAAAGATAAGGCTGGCTGTTCCCCTAAAGATTTATGGTCTCTGAAACCCTACGGAGCAGTTCTATGGACTTCGACAGGGCCCATTCCACTGCTATCAAGTCTGTTCTAGCTCTCTAGGATTGACTAGAACTGCCTCTGTGGGCTTCTGAGACTGGGAATTGCCAAGAGTAGAAAGCTTCATCTTTCTCCCATGGAGCAGCGGGTGGTTTTGAACTGGTCACCTTTGGGTTAACAGCCCAACTTGTTACACACCAAGCCACCCGGGCTCCTTACCAGGGCTCCCTAGGAGTCTTAATCAAATCAAAGGGATGCCTTTGAATTGGGTTATAATGGTTATCAATGTGATACAATCCTATTTTAGAATGGGCTGGCATATATATATATATATATGTATATGTATATGTATATATATAAATAATGTATGAGGCGGGATTACTGTAGAGTAACATATATATATATATATAAAATGTATGAGGCGGGATTACTGTAGAGTATGCCTGGAATCAATCTCTCTTAATCTGCAAAAAGTAATTCAATGACATTGCTTCTTGGCCTTTGGGTTAAGATCAGGGGTTGAAATTCAGTGCCAGTTCGCAGCAGAGATGGGGCAGGATAGATGCTGACTCTTGAGGGCCCGTGACAACAATGGGCAGAGTATTGACGATGCCGGAAGCAGCAAAAGAAGGTGGAGGGAGTCCACAGAGTCGCTGCATCAAAAAGAACGAGTCGAGATACAGTCATTTCAAGAGGTAGCATCTGAGCAAGAACCAGTGGTCTTGAAGGCAGAAATCCAAGCTCCACTGAAAGCAGTTGGAAAAACAGGGTCCTAGGAACTCCTGGAACCAAAGGAAATGTTTGCACAAACTGATGCAGGGTCGCACTCACTCGCCAAGGCCAAGACGTGTAGAACACAGGTACCGGCCGAACCAAACGGCGACTCACAGAAATGATCAAGACCATATCCTGAGGACTGGAGGTCACTGAACAATGGTCACAGCAATTTCTCCGTAGGGAGCTGCCAGACGTTCAAGCTGCATTCAGAAGAGACCGAGGGACAGAGGACATCCTTGCTGATGTCGGATGGATCTTGGCCGAAAGCAAAGAGTATGGGGGAGATGTCTACTTGTGTTTGAATGACTGTGCAAAGGTATTGGGACTGTGTGCATCATAACAGACTATGGCTAACAGTGGAAAGAGCGGGCCTTGCAGGAGACTCCACTGTGTTCCCGGGAAACCTGGGCATAGGCAAAGAGGCAGTCGTTCAACAAAACAAGGAGACAGAGCATTTGCTTAAACTCGGGACGGGTGTGCAGCACGGTTGTATCTTTTCTCTATACTTTATACTCAATTTTCATTCTGAGCAAATAAACTGAGAAGTTGAACTCTAGGAAGAAGCATGTGACGTCGTCGGGGCTGGAGGAAGACTCAAGCCCAGCCTGCGGTATGCGGATGGCACGATCTGGCTCGATGAAAGCCAAGAAGGGTTAATGCACTCACTTACTGATGAAGATCAAAGACGACTGCTTCAGAGGCTGCTAGCAGCAAGCACAGCAGTGCCGCCAAAACAGAACAATTATAAACCAGACCAGGAAGGTGAGAATAGCATTTCCTTGAGGTGATGTATCCCTACCCAAGTCAATAGAAATAAAACTTCACCACCACCACCCCACAAAAAAGACTTTCAATATGAATGACAACACACAACTGGACCGATAGACAACATGATAAACAAGGGAGAAGAGATTGAAGTGTTCCAGGATTTCAATTCACTTGGATCCACCGCCAGTGTTCGTGGAAACAGCAGGCAAGAACTCAGACGACATATTGCACTAGACAAGTCTGCTGGACAAGACCTTTTGAAAGAGTAAAAGACCCAAGATGTAACTTTGCGGACACGAGTGCCTGCCTCATGCCATCGCATCTTCAATCCCCTCCTATACGCGTGAAGGCTGGATGCGAGTGTGGAAGAAGGAGAAGAATTGATGCCTTTGGTTGAGGATGTTGGTGAATATCAAAAGTACCAAGGACTGCCAGGAAAACAAACAAACAAACAAATCTAGGAGGAAGTGCTCCCAGAATGTTCCTTAGATCCCAGGATGGCAAGGCCCCAGATACTTTGGACACGTATGGAAAAGGACATTGTGCTTGTGAAAGCAGAGAGCCAGTGAAAAGGGTAGAACCTCCATCAGATGGATTAACACAGCAGCTGCGAGAATGAACTTCACCAGAGCAGTAATGGTGGCACAGGACCAGGTACTGTTCTGTTCTGGTGCCCAGTCGGTGTGGCTTTGCAGGGTTGCTATGAGTGGGAGTGACGGAGTAACCGCAACACACAATCGCACAAACCGGTCCCCCCACCAGATGGCAGCGTGCACTGGAAGTGGGATGGGAGCTTTCTACTAGATTCCAAAGGTTAAAAATATAAGTCGACATGCTACATCCCATACATCATGAGCTGGTTGAAAGGCAGCAGCACTAGATAATGAAGATCTCTAATGTATATACATGTACACACATTTGCATCCATTCCATTATTCAAGCACAAATATTTAGTATTTAGTGGGTCAGGCCCTGGTCTATAAGCTAGGGATAGAGCTAGGGCCCAAACAGCCTAAGCCCCACCCTTTGGGTCTGCAACACCAGGGGTGGGTTCCACGTGGGCTGACAGTTAGAGATTCTGAGCTCAAGGAGGAAGAGAAGAAGAAGACATGGTGGTGGAGCAGGTGGATGATGGTGCTGGTTGAGTGAGAGGGTGGTCAAGAAATAAACGCCTGAGACAGAGTGGGGAGAACATTCCAGGCAGAGGAAGCAGGCAGAGCAAAGGCCCTGAGGCTGGACCAGGGCCTGGTTTATTGGAACACTGCAGAGGCCAGAATGGCCTGTGGCCCCAGGGCGGACATGGGCTTTTGCCTGGAGGCCGGTGGGAGCCACGGAGGGTTCTAAGCAGAGGAGGGTAGCGTCCTGACTCAGCCCCTCACTCGCTCCCTTAGCTGCTGGGGGAGGAGGGGATGGAAACACACTGGGGGGTGAGAGTAAGAGCTTGGCAGAGGCCATTGCATTGATCCAGGTGGGAGATCCTGGGGGAGGAGAGGCTGGATCTGGGTGGGGATGAGGGTGGTAGGCAGAAGTACCAGATTCTGAATAACATGCAAGATGGAAGCCCCTGAGTTCAGCGAGGGAGCAGACATGGAGGAGTCAGGGAGACAAGACTCTCGGAGGTTTGGAACTCAAAGGTTTAAAACAGAGCCTTGATCAAGAAACAAAATGAACACAGGCCAAGAGTTGGCAAGGCTGCGGAAACACTAGCTGGGAATGTGAAACAGTGTATCTGGTGTGGAAAACAGACTAGCAATTTGTCCAAAAGTTAAACAGAGTTGCCATGTAACCCAGCAGGTCTCCTAGGTCTCTACCCCAAAAGAATTGAAAACAGGTGTTCAAGCAGAGCACAGCCATTCCCAAAGGCCAAGAGGTGAGAACCGCCCAGATGTCCGTCCGTGGATGCAGGAAAAGTGGTGTCTTCACACCAAGGACTCTTACTTGGCCAAGAAGGGAACGAGTGAGGTCCTGGTCCGTGTGACCGCATGGCGGACACGACTGCGTGAAAAGAAGCAAGACACAAAAGGCCACCGAGGGCACTCATCTGAAAGGTCTAGAGTAGCGTCCCTAGGGACAGAAAGCAGATTCCTGACTGCCAGGGCAGTGGGGCGAGGGGAGAAAGGGGGTAGGGGAGGGCGTGGCTACAGTGTGAGTCAGGGGTTTCCTTCGGGGATAAGGAAAAGAAATGTTCATAACTCGATAAAGCCTCCAGGCGATGCTTGCACAACCTGGTGAAAGTCTCAAATGCCACTCTTTCACTTTTGATTATTTTTAAGGGAATATGAATTTTGTCTCATTCAGATAAGTTT